GGGGTCCCCACAACCTGCCCCAGGGTGAATGGTGGGAGGAGGATCTGGGGGTCAGAGAGGGTCTCAGGGGTTTTGGCGGGGTCTCCCCTCACCTCCGTGTGGCTGTGGGGAGGTCAGGGTGGTGGGGATCGGGACTCAGGGGTTCGGGGTTGGGTGTGTCCGGACGGGGGTGGGTTCAGGGGGTTCAGGGTGGGCTCAAGGGTCTCAGGGGTTCTCGGTGGTGGTGGTGGGGGTCTCCCCTCACCTCCATGTCCCGGATGGCCCCCCAGGCGCGCTCCACGCTCTCCACCCGCTCATAGCGGAGCTGTCCCGGCAGCAGCCGCTGGTTCAGCACCTCGAGCGAGCCGCGCCGGTACCGCAGCGACTCCAGCGCCATCGCGGGGCCAACACCGCCCCTTCCGGCCCCCCCGACGGGGAGGGGGGTCACATCCACGGAACAACCCCCGGGAACGGGGAACAACACCGGGGACGGGAAACAACACCCGGGAATGGGGAACAACACCGGGAACGGGGAACAACACCGGGAATGGGGAACAACCCCGGAATGGGGAACAACCCCCGGGAATGGGGAACAACACCGGGAATGGGGAACAACACCCAGGAATGGGGGAACAACACCCGGGAACGGGGGAACAACACACCGGGAATGGGGAACAATCCCGGGAATGGGGAACAACACCCGGGAATGGGGGACAACCCCGGGAAATGGGGAACAACCCCCGGGAATGGGGGAACAACCCCGGGAACGGGAAACAACCCCCGGGAACGGGGAACAACACCGGGAATGGGGGACAACACACCGGGAATGAGGGGACAACACCCCGGGAATGGGGGAACAACCCCGGGAACGGGGGAACAACCCCCGGGAACGGGGAAACAACCCTCAGGAACGGGAAATAACCCCCGGGAATGGGGGAACAACCCCGGGAATGGGAACAGCCCCCGGGAATGGGGGAACAACCCCGGGAATGGGGGAACAACCCCCGGGAATGGGTGAACAACACCGGGAATGGGGAACAACCCCCGGGAATGGGGAACAACCCCCGGGAATGGGGAACAACACCGGGAATGGGGAACAACACCCGGGAATGGGAGAACAACCCCCGGGAATGGGAGAAAACCCCCAGGAACGGGGGAACAACCCCAGAGAATGGGGAACAATCCCCGGGAATGAGGGAACAGCTCCCGGGATTGGGGGAACAACCCCCGGGAATGGGGAACAACCCCCGGGAACGGGGGAACAATCCCCGGGAAGGGGAAACAACCCTCAGGAACGGGAAATAACCCCCGGGAATGGGGGAACAACCCCCGGGAGATGGAGGGGCACCCCCGCCAGTGACACCACGTGGGGCCCGATCCGGGGGTCCCGGTCCAGGCTGGAGATCCCGGGGGGTCCTGGTCCAGGCTGCAAACCCGTCGCTTCCAACCCCCCCACAACATCGGGATCACTGTTTTATACTGGGCTCACTGGTCCGTACTGGGGTCCCTGGTTTACACCCCCGATCCCGGGAGGTTTCTGGTCCATGGGAGGGTCCCACAGTCGGGGGGGGTTGTGGAATCCTGATCCATGGTGGGGGTCCTGATCTGGGGGGTTCCCATGGCGGAGTGGGGGGGTCCCTAATTCATGATGGGAGGTCCCAGTTAGGGGGGGTCTCCCAGCAGGGGGTGGGACACACACGACAGGACACCGGTGCCACCAACTCCGTTTAATTTTGGGGTGCTGGGGGGGGTATAAATTACAGGGGAGGTCTGTGGGGGTGGGGAGAGCTCTGGGTGCACCCCAGACCACCCCGGGGGTCCAGCCCCCAAACCGCGGCTCAGGCGCTGTCAGAGCTGGAGTCCGAGTAGTCGGCGACAAGGGACGGGGTGGGGGCGGCCCTGGGGGGGCCCAGGGGCAGCGCAGGGGGTCCCTCCTGTCCTGGGGGCTGCAGGGGCGTCCCCACCGCCCTGGGGGGCTGCAGGGGGTCCTCCCCAGCGCCGGGATTCCCTGGGGGGGGTCCCTCCGCCCCCCCACTCTCCTCCCCCACCCTCCTGCGCACGATGCCGAGGCCGGCGGGGGTCGGGGGGCCTGGGGGTCCTTGGCGCTCAGGCCCCCAGGGGCAGTTTGGGCAGCGCCCGGGGGGTCCCGGAGCCAAACCAGGGCCGGTGCGAGATCTCGGAGCGTTTCAGCCGCTGCCTCTCGTCGTAGGCTGTGGGGGAACAGGGGGAAATGGGGGGTCACCGGGGGGGCAGGACCCCCAGAGCCCCCTCCAAAGGCTCCCAGGACCCCCCCACGCACAGTCGGGGGCGCGCAGGGTGAGCAGGGCGGCGAGGCGCCGATCCTCCTCCTCCTCCCGCACCAGGGGGATGCTCAGCCCGGCCCTCGCCCGCAGCGCCGCTGCCTCCTCCTCCTCCTCCTGCAGCGTCCTCTTCTCCTCCTGGGGGGGCACGGGGGGGCCGAGACCCCCGCACTGGGTGTGTGGGGGTCCCAGAGCGCTCCCACAGTTGGGCTTTTGGGGGGCCCCGAGCCCCCCCAGTGGGTGGTTGGGGGTCCCGGGTGGGTTATTTGGGGGTCCCGAGTCCCCCTGGGTGCATTTTGGGGGTCCCGGGTGGGTTATTTGGGGGTCCCAGTCCCCGGGCATTGGGGTCCCAGGTGGGTTATTTGGGGTCAGTCCCCTGGTGCATTTGGGTCCTGGGTGGGTATTTGCGACCCCTGGGTGCATTTGGGGGTCCCAGGTGGGTTATTTGGGGGCTGGACCCCTAGGTGCAGGTCCCGTGGGTTATTTGGGTCGAGTCCCCCTGGGTGCATTTTGGGGGTCCCGGGTGGGTTATTTGGGGGTCCCGAGTCCCCCCGGGTGCATTTTGGGGGTCCCGGGTGGGTTATTTGGGGGTCCCCAGGTGCATTTTGGGGGTCCTGGGTGGGTTCTGGGGGGTCCCTCACTCGGAACTGCCGGCGCAGGCGGCTGTTGAGCCCGAAGTCGTCCCTCCAGGCGTCCTGGGCCTCCTGCAGCCGGCTCAGGGTGGGGGTCTCGCGCTCCAGGACCCCCCGGTCCTGCACCCCGTGCTCCAGGCGGAACATGGGATCGAGGGCCAGGCGCTCCTTGTGCTCCGGGGCTGCAACGGGAATGGGAGCACTGGGAGTGACTGGGGCTGACCAGTGGGGCTGGTGCTGGGCCTGAGTGGGGTTACTGGGCCGTACTGGTGTTACTGGGCCGTACTGGAGTCACAGAGAGGTGGGGGCCGGGCGCTGTCCCGGGGGTCCCAGCGCTCTTTTCTGGGACTGACTCGCTGGGGGCACTGGGACTCGCTGGGGGCACTGGGACTCGCTGGGGACACTGGGACTGGGCCATACTGGGGTTCCTGGGGTTGCTGGTGCTGCTGCACTCACAGGGGGGCGGGGCCTGGGCGCTGTCCCGGGGGTCCCAGCGCTCCTCCTTGCGCCGGGCCCCGCTGACGATGACGTAGTCGCAGCTGGCGGGGTCCGTCTGCAGCTCGATGTGGTTCACGCACAGGTGACATTTCATCCGGAACCTGGGAGGGCCAGGGGGGTGGTCACAGCTCAGGGGGTCCAGGGGGATCCCCAGGTGTCCCCAGAGCTCGGGGGGGAGGTGTCACACCCACCTGTACACGGGGGTGGTGTAGTAATTCCCCACCTTCTTCTTCTCCGCGTTGTACCTGACACCTGGAGGGGTGGGAGGGGTCAGACCCCCCCTCCCCAAAGGATTTGGGGACCCCCACTGACCACCCAAACCCCTGGGACTCACCAAAACACGCCCACCCCCAAAACTCTGCTGCCAGGCCCTCGAATCCCCAATGCCCCTGGACCCCTCAAAACCCCCAGACAGACCCCCAAAAATCCCTGACATCCCCAGCCCCCAGACCCCCAACAGCTGACCCCCTGATCCTTCACAACCCTCAAAAGCTCCCCCAGAACCCCCCCAACAGCCCAGGACACCCTCCCAGCCGCCCCCAGCCCCGCTCACCCATCCCGATGTGGTTCTTGCAGCCGTCGCACCAGATGTTAAAGGGCATCTCGAACCTGGAGGGGGGCACAGGGGGGCAAGGGAGGTTTGGGGGTGTCCCGGGGCCCCCCCAGCTGTGCCAGGGGCCGTTCTGGGCTGTGCCTGCCCCTCACCTGATGACCAGGATGCCCTGGGAGAGCTTCCGGGCGCGCTCCCGCAGGGGGTGGCTGTGGTGGTACTTGTTGAGGGAGCCATGCTGGAGGAGAAAAGGAGGGGTCAGGGGGGTCCACAGCACCCCAAAACCCCCCTGACACCCCCCTGGCAGCCCCCCAGAACCCCAAACCCCCTGAACCCCAAATCCCCCTCACAGCCCCCAAATCCCTGACAGCTCTCCCAGCCCCCAAATCCACACTTACATCCCCCAGTTCCCCCAAACCTCCAAAAATCGCCCCTAACCCCCCAAATACCTCCTGACACCTTCCCAGCCCCCAAATCCACACTTACATCCCCAGTTCCCCCAAACCTCCAAAAAATCGCCCTAACCCCCCACAAATACCCCCTGCCACCCTCCCAGCCCAAATTCTCCCCAGCCCCCCCAGAGCCCCTCACCCACCTTGGCGGGGTCGAAGTCGGGGGGGTAGTACTTGTTGGTGCCCTTGCGCTCGCCCTGGGGGACATTGGGGGGTCACGGGGGGCCTCCCGGTGGCCTCGGTGGCCCCGTGGTGGCCCCGGTAGCCTCAGGATGGCCACGGTGGCCCAGATGTCTTCCGTGCAGCCACAGTGGCCCCGGTGGCCCCAGGGTGGCCCTGTGGTGGCCCCGAGGTGGCCGTGGTGGCCTCAGTTCAGCTGAGGTGGCCCCAGTAGGCCCAGGGTGGCCCTGGTGGCCCAGATGTCCCTGGTGCAGCCACGGTGGCCCCGAGGTGGCCCCGAGGTGGTCCCGTCCCCACTCACCATGGCCGAGGGTCTCTGGAGCACAGGCAGGACCTGGGGAGGACGAGGAGGTTACTGGGGAGCCCCCAGTTTGTACTGGGACAGGGACCCCCTCCCAGTATGGGGGTAATGGTCACTGGTCAGCAGTGGGAACAGGGTTAAGGGGACAGGGATCCCCAATGCCCTCCCAGTACGGGCTTAACAGTCACTGCTTTATACTGGGGTCCCTGATCTGTACTGGGCTTACTGGTCTATACTGGGGTCCCTGATCTGTACTGGGCTTACTGGTCTATACTGGGATGCACACTGAGTGTCGCTGATCCCTACTGGGGTCTGTACTGGGAGTCCCTGGTCTATACGGGGGTTTCTACTGGGGTCCCTGACCCATACTGGTCTATACTGGTTTAAACTGGTCCCCCCGTCCCCCCGATTGCCCCCGAACCTCTTCCGGCTCCGCTGGTCAGAGCCCCGCCCCTTTCCGCTTGCGTCACCGCGCGCTGATTGGTCCAACAGCACAAGAAAGGCGGGGCCCCCAGGAGGCCCCGCCCCTCTCGCAGCCTCGCGTTTGCGACCCCTGGCGGCGCCGCAGCGCCGTGGCTTACGGCGGCCCTTAGCAACGGGGGCCATAGCAACGACTGGTCCATAGCAACGACTGGTCCATAGCAAACGGGTCCATAGCAACGGGGCCCGTAGCAACAGCAGGACCATAGCAACTGGGCTCCATCTCAAGGGGGCCTGTAGCAACGGGGCCCATAGCAACGAGGGGCCATAGCCACGGGATCTCCATAGCAGTTGGGCCCATAGCAACGAGGGTCTCCACAGGAACAGGGGTTTCCATAGAAACGGGGGGTCCGTCGCAACGGGGCTTCCTAGCAATGGGAGTCTCCATAGCAACGGAGCCCCTAGAAATGGAGTCCATAGTAACAGGGGTCCATAGCAACGGGGCTGTCTCCATAGCAATGGGACCCATAACAATGGGGTCTCCATAGAAACGGGGGGCCATGGCAACCTGGAGCAACCAGAGCCCCCCCAGCCCCTGCCTGTGGGTGATGTCCCCCCTCTACCCCCTGGGTTCTGGGGTTCCCCTCACTGTCCCCTCCCCGGGGTCCCCCCACAGTGTCCCCTGGTCACACTGGGACCCCCTGGCAGCCTCAGCCCTCCCAGGGTGACACAGGGGTGTCACACCCCCCCCATCCATCCCCCTCTATCCCCACGGGGGTGACACTGTCACTGTCCCTCTGCTGTGGATCACATGGGGGTGGCAGTGTCCCCTTCCCCCCCACTCCCCTGTGTCCCCGTGGGGGTGCCATTGTCCCCGTCCCTGTCACACACCTGCCACCACCATCCCTGTCCCCAGCAGGTGCCACCATGGTGGCCTTTGATCCATCCCCGCAGGCGGGCGCTGCCTCATCACAGAGACCGCTAATGAGCCACTGCAGGGCCACCCCCCTGTCCCCACGGCCACCCCTGTGTTCCCACAGCCACCTCCATGTCCCCACAGCCACCCCTGTGTCCCCACAGCCACCCCCCTGTCCCCACAGCCACCCCCTGTCCCCACGGCCACCCCCTGTCCCCACAGCCACCCCACTGTCCCAACGACCACCCCTGTGTCCTCATGGCCACCCCCATGTCCCCATGGCCACCCCCTGTCCCCACGGCCACCCCCCGTGTCCCCATACCCACCCCCATGTCCCCACGGCCACCCCCATGTCCCCATACCCACCCCCTGTCCCCATGTGCCACTCCCTGTGTCCTCACGGCCACCTCACTGTCCCCACAGCCACCCCCTGTCTCCCCACTGGCCCATGCCCCCTGTCCCCATGGCCACCCCCTGTCCCCACAGCCACCCCCATGTCCTCACGGCCACCTCACTGTCCCCACGGCCACCCCCCTGTCCCCACGGCCACCCCCATGTCCCCATGGCCACCCCACTGTCCCCACAGCCACCCCCTGTCCCCACGGCCACCCCCATGTTCCCACGGCCACCCCACTGTCCCCACGGCCACCCCCTGTCCCCATGGCCACCCCTGTCCCCATGGCCACCCTCCTGTCCCCACGGCCATCCCCGTGTCCCCACGGCCACCCCACTGTCCCCACGGCCACCCCACTGTCCCTCATGGCCACCCCACTGTCCCAACGACCACCCCTGTGTCCCCATGGCCACCCCCCTGTCCCCATGGCCACCCCACTGTCCCCATGGCCACCCCTGTGTCCCCACGGCCACCCCCCTGTCCCCACGGCCACCCCACTGTCCCCACAGCCACCCCACTGTCCCCATGGCCACCCCTGTGTCCCCATGGCCACCCCCCCATGTTCCCACAGCCACCCCCTGTCCCCACAGCCACCCCCATGTTCCTATGGCCACCCCACTGTCCCCACAGCCACCCCCTGTCCCCACGGCCAGCCCCTGTCCCCACGGCCACCCCCTGTCCCCACGGCCACCCCTGTCCCAGCCCCCTGTCCCCACAGCCACCCCCCTGTCCCCACGGCCACCCCCTGTCCCCATGGCCACCCCCGTGTCCCCATGGCCACCCCCCTGTCCCCACAGCCACCCCCCTGTCCCCACGGCCACCCCACTGTCCCCATGGCCACCCCCGTGTCCCCATGGCCACCCCCCTGTCCCCACAGCCACCCCCGTGTCCCCACCGCCACCCCCACTGTCCCCACGGCTGTGTCTGACACCGGCCAGCCCGAGGGATGTCCGAGGGAGGGTACGGGGGACACGGGGAGGACACGGGGGACACGGGGAGGACACGGGGGTCTGGCATCCCTTGGGGACAGCAGGGCTGGGTGTCCCCACGGTGGGACACACGTGTGACGTTGGCACCGGCTCGAGGCGAGTCCGGGCAGGGGAAGGTGCTGAGTCTGCAGTTTGGGGTCATGGCAGAGCCACCGACACACGAGAACACGCGTGAGGGGCTGTGCACACACATGTGGGGTCAGGGGCACATGTGTGTCAGGCCATGCACACACATGTGGGGCCGTGCACACACATCAGGTCTGCACACGTGTGTCGGGCCATGCACACACATGTGGGACCTGCACACACATCAGGCCTGCACACACATGTGGGGCCGTGCACACACATCAGGCCGTGCACACACATGTGGGGCCGTGCACACACATCAGGCCTGCACACACGTGTGTCAGATCATGCACACACATGTGGGGCCGTGCACACACATCAGGCCTGCACACACGTGTGTCAGATCATGCACACACATGTGGGGCCTGTGCACACACGTGTCAGGCCATGCACACACGTGTGGGGCCGTGCACACACATCGGGCCTGCACACACGTGTCAGACCATGCATGTGTGGGTCACAGACACACACATCAGGCCATGCACACACATGTCAGTCCGTGCACACACGTGTCAGTCCGTGCACACACGTGTGAGCTGACCCTGGAAGCCCCCAGAGGGTCCCCCCAGTCCCCCCCCCCAGTGGTTTGGGGTCCCCATCTTACAGGTGACACTCAGGGTCCCCTTTGGGGACAGTCCCTGCTCGGGATCCCCCCACGGGGGACGGAACCCACGGGGGTCCCTGGTGACCCCGCACCTGGTGCCGCGGGGGGTCCGGGGGTGCTCTGTGACCTTGCTCCCCCCGCCCGCAGCCCCCCCGGGTGCTGCGGGGTCGCGGTGGCCCGGGGGTGACACCGGCAGTGCCACGTGCGGCCGCTGCGGCGGCGCCGGGACAAAAGCGGCGCCGGGACAAAGGGCCGTGACGTCACCGGGGGCTGGGGGGCACCCCCTGACCCAGTTCGGCCCGTTCGGGGGGGCTGTCAGAGCGGGGGGGGCCCGGGGGACCCCACGGGAGGGGAGCGCCAGGGGGGCACCACTGCCCGTCCCCGGGAGGTCGGACCGGTGGCGGGGGTCTGGGGGTGACAACGGGGTCACCGCGGGGGGAAACTGAGGCAGGGGAGGGGTAATTAAAGCCCACTAATTAACCCTGGGGTAAATCGAGGAGGAGGAGGAGGAGGAGAAAGGTCCCGGGCACTGGGGGGCGGAAAAGGAGGAGGAGGAGGAGGAGGAAGAAGAGGAAGGTCCCAGGTATTGGGGAGCAAGAGAGTAGGAGGAGGAGGTGGAAGAGGAGGAGGAGGAGGAAGGTCTTGGGTATTGGGGGACAGCAGGAGGAGGAAGAGGAAGGTCCTGGGCACTGGGGGGGCAGGAGGAGGAGGAGGACGAGGAAGAGGAAGGTCCCGGGCATTGGGGAGTAGGAGGAGGGGGAGGAGGAGGAGGAGGAGGAGGAGGAAGGTCCTGGGCACTGGGGAGCACGAGGAGGAGGAGGAAGGTCCCGGGTATTGGGGGGGGAGGAGGAGGGGGAGGAGGAGGAGGAGGAGGAGGAGGAGCAGCAGCAGCGCGAGCTCTGCCGCAGCCCGGCCCGATGGGCCCCGTCACCCCGCTGCTGCCGGGGGGCTGACGGCGACCCCCGCCCGGCCCCGCCGCCCCGAGGGGGGGTCCGCACCCCCACCGTCCGCCGCCGCCTTTTTTCTATCGATCCTTTGGATTTTGGGACAATTTGGGGATTTCGAGGGGATTTTTTACCTCCCCCCCTCTCACTGATGCTCCGGGCCGGGGGCGCCGGGATGCGCTGAGCGAGCCCCGGCTTTTTCTGTCCCCCCGCCCCCACCGCCCCAAAATTACCGCAACCCTCCCGGCGGAAGCTGACCGAGCCGCAGCGCCGGGACCCCCGCACCCCGCGCCGGGGGCACCGCGAGCTGCAGCGGAGGGACCCCCCCACCGCGGGGCACCGGGAGCCGCAGCGGGGGGACCCTCCCGGTCTCGAGGCATCGGGACCCCCCACTCCGGGGCACCGCGAGCCGCAGCGAAGGGACCCCCCCGCGAAACCGGGGCACCGCAGCGCCAGGACCCCTGCAACCCGCTCCGGGGGCACCGGGACCACCCCCCCGCACCGGGAGCCGCAGCGCCGGGGACCCTTTTACACCGGGGGTGCCCCTCGAAACCCCCCGCACCGGATTGCGGGGGGGGCACTCGCAGAAGGACCCCCCCCATCCTCCGGGGCACCGCAGCGAAGGGACCCCCAGCGGGGCACTGGGAACCGCAGCGCCGCGACCCCCCCGCGCCGGGGCACCGGGAGCCGCAGCGGAGGGACCCCCGCACCCCTCGGACCCCCTTCCCAATCTCGGGGTCTCCCCCTCGCCGCACCGGCTCGCGGGGGGGCCGCGCCGCACCGAGGGATGCTCGGGATGCTGGCCCTGCTCTGAGCGCCCCTCGTCCGGTCGGGACGGACCCCGACCCCGGCCCCCCGAGGATTTAGGGGGGCCCATGGGATGTGATGAGCTCCTCGGCGGTGCCGGCCTCAGCAGCGTGACCCCCCCTCGGCGGGATGGCTCGTTTCGGAGAGGAGGTGGCGGCCCGTTATGGGCCCGGCGGCGGCGGGAGCGGCCCCGGGGCGGCGGCGGGGGC